TCTGAGACGCCCTACCATTCCAGTTGGAAAATCTATTAGTCTCTATGGAACCCCCTTTGACATCTGGGCATTACATGTCGTACTTTGATTTCAAAACGGAGCTGTGGCCAAGGCACAGAAATGAATTCATCATGTGGTCGGTGGAAGTTGGCACTCGGGAATCGAAACCATCGACCTCGTCTAAAGTGGTTTTTTGGTTTGGCAGCTTCGTGGTAGGTAGCCGGCTTCTTGCAGCTGTATACAGCCCTGAAATATGTGTCACAATCATGAACCGTTTCACTATTTTAATTGAATTCATTGTGGTACGTCATTTTGAGGGGCTTCCTTCTACCCCAGTTGGGAGGTGATTCGGGTTGTCACCGAACAGACCTTCTACAACGGAATGCTTCCATTTTCCATCAAAACTTGAATTTCTGCGCGTTATTTTGTCTATATGTCCACATTCTATTGGCTTCTGTTACGCAAACGAAGGCTGTTATGGCAAGAGGCACAGCCCTGGTTTCTCTTTTACTCGGTCTCATTTCTCCTTGGAGCTGGTTGATCCTTATATGCTTGCGTAGTGCGTTGGAAAAAGAATACAATGATTAAAAATGAACGGATATTGAGCAGGGGTAAGCTCATAAGATGACGATTCGTTTCTAATCCGTGTTCAAAGTATCTCAGCAGTGTGTCATGGTATTCTTGAGGTTTCTTTAAAGTTTATGGGAACTTGGGAATGCTCTCTGAACATCAGGATTTCTGGAAGTTTTGACTGAATTATGGAGTAGATGAAACTGTTCCTCAGCTCTTTCATGCCCAGAAATTCCTTGCCTGTCCCGAACAAAAAATCTGCCTCTATGGGTTCAGTTAGCTTGTAGGGCAGTACCATATGAAGCCGAGTCCATATCTCATATCATACTATATCGAGGGGAAATAATTCAGGGTTTGGGTGGTCTATCAGATAATTGAAGGGCCTTCAAGGCCCGAAAAACAAGAAGAGCACGAGGAGCAATGCATTTCTGATGGATAGGCAGACCTTAGGAATTTGCCGCTGTGTCATGTGTGCAATCTTAATGTGAATGAGCATATATTTTCGATTTTAGTTGATCGAAATGGACGTCGCTTGGGCCAAATTGCGTTTCAGAGGCATGCCTCGCCCTATTGACGTCATCCAGTATGATGATGGAAAAAAAACAGAGGAATAAAGTCGAAATTGGAAATGAATTAACAGCCGAATCGATGAGGGAACGTCACGCCAATTCGCCCAGTCCAAAGCGCTAGCGACGCCTCTTCGCTAGCTGTATCGACATGGGGTCGGCAAATTCCATTAAAAACTCTCGCAAAAACAATTATTTGAAGGCCTGTCATGCAAAAACAATTCCAGTTTGTTTATCTGTTTTGCTGCTGGCATCATCTAAAGATTGCGGGTTTGGTAGAAATTCCCTGAAATTGAGGGGTATGTGTGAATGAGCCGGCATCGCCCGAGTTACCAAACGCTGAACATACATACAACTATGATAATGACTCAAAGCAAACTGAATATCTTATATAAATTGAATTTGAATGTTATTATTGCTATTATTTTTATTATAGAAATTTGTTTATTCTTCAACAAACTTTATAAATGAACAGTGAGGTGTTTTTTATGAATTTAGTATCATTAAGAAACTGATGAAGGACCTTCGAGGTTGCGTTAGGGGAAAAGGTAGAGGAACGGTAAAAGGAAAAGAGGCTTGGTTGTTTAGTTGAAGCCCACTAATGCATCGAACTTTCGCCATCAACTATTGCCTTGCCTACAAATAGCAAGGGCCCGTTGGCATGAAACACGAACAGAAGAGTTTGAACGCACCATTCACGATAAGAATGGTTTCCCAGGATTCTCATTAGGATGAACGTGTGACACTCAAGGATAGCATAAGTGACGCTGCTGGATCGAAAAAGGGCCGAGATAGGGCGTTATAGGAGGTCCAAAATCGGGTTAGCACTCCAGGCGGACGAGTTTTCACGGTGTAGAGGTCGCACTATTCGTACCTGGGCGCATATATTGCACGCAGGACGCTTACTGTAGCTAACCATAACAATGACTTACATAGTCGGACAGTGCGTTCAAATCCCCCTTCTATGACTTTTGTCATCACATTCTTGTGAAAACCCTTACTTTGCTACTTATTCGAAGTCTTATTATTGGCTGAATGCGCCGAATATCGTAAACCGTTCCTTCGAAATAATCATGCTGTTTCAAAGGGTATAGACCTTCTATAAGGGCTCTGAGGATTCTAAGGATTAAGGGCTATTCGGATTTCATATCCATGGCCGTCTTGCAATGCTGGAAAAATTGTCACTGATCCATTATTTTTGGGATATGATTTGCAAAGAACAATAAAATTTTCCAGCGATAAGTGGTTCAACGCCTGACAAGTGCCACTCATTCAACTTTGACCACTCTTATTGGTCATACTCGAGAGATGATGCTCATTTCGCTAGTCAAACTCAGGTCTATCAGGATCTCGGTGTCGAAATGCTCGAACATGCCTTTGAAGGGTAAGTTTCTCCAC